GTTGCGCGTGTTATAATGTCGCTAATGAATAATTAGACCCTCCCCTCCCCCTTTATATAGTAGGGGAGTTTTACTCTAAGTACAATTTCATAAAAGGTAAAAATGTTCTATTTAACTAATCATCATCTCTCTGCCGATATGTACCGAGATTCACACCGTGATATCCGGCTGGGCACGGATATCACGACCTTTTGTTAGTCGTGTTTGATTGTCTAATAACATTCTCTGAAGTTTAGAGGTTTGAAACGGTCTTAGGGATGGAACTCTGATTTCTTCGATGGTAGGTATTTGCCCGGGCCTCAACTTGAGGAGCTTGTTACCTCAATTCCGGCTCCTCACATTTGCATTTCTGCTCCGTTTCCTTCATCGAGAACCGAGGTGTTCAAAGGGCTCAGTTTTACTTGTATGCAGATAGTCCCCTTATTTTTTGGAGAGTAATTTTACGAAAACGATGAGAAACGATATATGTACTTCAATTCCTTCTCCAATATGTCGTGACAAAAATGACAAAGGACACGAAAAGTCTCGTCAGTCATGTCATTATGACCTCAAACGCGTGTCAGCCACCGGTTGGCCATCTCTGAATGCGAAACGTCGTGAAGCCTCTATAAATATTCTCCTCCTTCGTACTTTTTTTACTTTATGTTCAAGCTTCTACCCTCGAATCTTCTACCCTTCTTCATACTCTAGTATTTGTACCTCCGTTTTTCAATATTTCTCAGTAAGTTACAAATTTTTACTCATCTTCTAACCAAACCATAGCACTTGACCCTTCATCTTTCGTCCTTCTTCATCTTTTTCAAGCTTTTTCAAGATAACGATGGTCAAAACTTCCAAGACTGTTCCCCAAAAAGTCGCTTCTTCTTCTCAACTGACTGCCGAAATTAATAAAACCTCTCCCGATGTGGTCGACCTGGAGACGTCCACTGCTGACGTGGCTACCGATGAATCGGTTGTCGAACCTCCCTTGAAAATATTCATTCCCTGGGGTTATTCGATCACCGATGACTTAAAGGTTGAGAAACCCTCTTTGGTGTAGGGTTGGCGTGAGGAGGCATCGAGATATATATGCTCGATCACCGAAGATGTCCTCCCTAAAAATTTTTTACCCTAAAAAAAATAACAATTAAATTTATATATGGTTTTCAGGATATGCGGATTAATTTAATACAAATAGTAAATTGCGTTAGATTAAACAAATAAAAGACATGATAAAGTATCAAACCAATTATGGGGAATGATTCTGGACTCGGTTACAGCCTTAACGGAATGCCTGCCCTCGATCCCGAATTCACAATAACGAAGCACTAATAAACAAAAGTAAGAACTTTGAATAATAGAGAAAATGAGAGTATATTNATGAAGAACTGATGAATAGAAGTAAGAATTTTGAATAGGAGAGAAAATAAGAGTATATTGCCTTGATATACGTGTTACAATGTGTGTTTAATGAATAGTAAGGCTCTCCTTTATATAGTAGGGGAGTTTTACCCTAAGTACAATTTCATAAAAGGTAAAAATCTTTCGTTTAACTAATCACCAGCTCTCTGCCGATATGTGCCGAGATTCACGCCGTGATATCCGACTGGTCACAGATATCACGACCTTTTGTTAGTCGTGCTCGATTGTCTGATAACGTTCTCTGAAGTTTAGAGGTTCGAATCGGTCTTGGGGTTGTGACTCTGATTTCTCCGAGGGTAGGTGTTTGCCCGGGCCGCGACTCAAGGAGCTTCTTACCTCGATTCCGGCTACTCACATTTGCATTTATGCTCTGTTTACTTCATCGAGAACCGAGGTGTCCAAAGGGCTCGGTTTTACCCGCATACACTCTCAATTTTGATATTCCTACATATGAATAGAACTTTTATCATTCATTTGTTTTAGAATTATGAGGGCCAACAAAGCTAAATAGGGAATCCAACACATGATTTGCGTAAAAAATATTGGGCGAGCTCCCAGCATTGAGGGTTAAGTGTATTCAAGACGTACGGTCGGGCGCTTGGGGCATAAGCCTCATGAAACTAAGCCTCGCATATAAGCCTCAGGACGTTTTGATGGTGCCCTACCCAGGAGGCAGGGGCGAGTCCCAAAAAAGCCTTTTAAAACATAGTAGCACATAATATGAAAATTACAAAACTTGAGTCGAAGTACTCACACATCTGAAAGGAGTTAAAGCCTATCTAGGATCAGAATCGGATACGAGATTGAGATGAGATCATCTTAAAAAACTTGTATTGTAAATAACAGAATATAGTTGGGCATTTATCATAGTTAAGTTAGTTATGACTAATGATGTCATTAACCAAAAAAAAAGACTAATGAAGTCAACAGCCTATGATCCGTAACAATTTGAGTTTAGGCGAAGGCACCAACCAAACTGGAAAGTTATAAAACAAAGGCAAGTGCGCAGGCACCATCACATTTTTACAATAAGAAAATTAGATTAGTCATCCATTTGTTTAATCGGCACAATTATTTTCTTGTTTTGGAGCCTCTTGACAAATCTTATTTACCAACTCATACGAATCCATAGTGTGAATTTATGATAATAAGAAAAGAGACGAAACTGTCTTTATATCCTGAGTAGATAATAATTTGCTTACGGAACCTGCATAGTAGACTCTTGATTTGGCTTTATGTGGACAGACATCATGGAATTGGCGGAGCCCGATATCGAGTTACGGATTTTATCTGAACTATGTATTTGTTTTTAAAAAACTATTTAATATATGTACAAATTATTTGTTTAAAATTCAATAAAAAAGATTAAACTCCTAAACTTTTAAACTTTAAATCCTGACTCCGCTCTAGTAGAATAGGGAGAAGGTTCGTGCTACCAAAGAGAAGGGAAATAGGCATTGGTGAAGTATATCAACAAATGTTAATAATAATTTATGAATTAGACAAACACTATCTAAAAGCGATGTCATACTTACACCACCCATGACCCAAATTAACTCCTCCAATGAGCAGCTAAAACATACCAATTAGAAACTAATCCCTTTTCTGACTTCCTTAAGACCAATGTTTTAAAAGGCGGGGCATAAGGCGAGGCGTAAGCCCTGAGACATGGGACGTAAGTTTCACGGATTTTTAAATTTTACTAATTTCAAGAATTTTTAAATCGGACAAAATAAAAAAGAACTATAAAAATTACATTAAAATCACAAAATTACAACAAATAATTTATTTAAAATAGTTATAAATTATAATTCAACTATGAATAATACGAAAAATATGACATATATCATAATATGCAAATTAGTTGCAACGTCGTTACAATTCAAACATCAAAAGTAATGTATTCGACCCGAAATCATATATGTATCTCTTATGGAGTAATGAATCTTCAAAGAATTTCAATAGTATAATTTGATTTTCTTTAAAATACTCCTTTTATTTAATATGTTTTCCTTTTGAAAGAGAATTTATATAAAAACATAATTCACAATTTAAATATGATTCTCTAGCATCATTTATTTATAAGTTTCAACAAGTTAATAAAGTGACACATAATTTACCATACGATACCATGATAACTAATTATTCCCAAATAGTTACTAGCTAATACTGAGCTATTAAATTAATAAGTATTGTATCTCGTAAACGTGGAAAAAAAAATATTTAGGAAAATAATTATTAAAAAAAATTATGGACTACTATCTAATAATGACATGACAAAAGTTAATAAATAAATATTGTTAAATGAAAGATTTATTTAAAATTTACTATCATAGCAGTCTTAGTGGATAACGTGCAATAATTTTTATTTTAGTTATGATATAAAATACTCTCAACTTAATTTATGATTAACAAAAAAGTAATTTTGAATAGTCAACGATTTATTAAGAATAATTGAGAATTTACAAGGTTAATTACACATAATTGCATAAAGTTTTATTAGGCGACTCGGTACGTTGGGCATTGGGCGTGTTCGGGGCGTAAGTCTCACGGAGCTAAGCCCCACATATAAGTCCATGGGCGTTTTATGTGTGCTTCGCTTCAGGGCGAGGCCCGGATGAGTTCCAATTATGCCTTTTAAAACAGAGCTTAAGATAACACGTGGACACGTCTGTTTCAAATCTTTTACCTCTATCAAAAGCAATATTGCTAACAAGTTGCAAGAAAGAGAAAAAAATACATATCAAGAATCATGATCACAATTCACAACCACCGAGTAAATGACTTGCTTAAGCAGCCAGCCTGGTTCTTTCTAACAATAATAATTAAACGTCTCTCTTCCAACTTCCAACACTGAGTCAATTATGTAAAACATTTTTTATTTCTTATGTACTAGGTTTTCATTGATGTCAAGGTATTAGAGAACTACGTACAAACCACATGTATGATTAATTAGGGAACGTTGACTGTTGATTTGTCTTTATATGGACGGATAACATGGAGGAAGTTTCAGTGGCGGATTCAATTATAAATTTGTGGCTTCAACAGAATCTAGTAATAGTATTACAAGTTCGAACAAACAACAACAAACCTAGTATAATCCTACAACTAGTATAATCCTACAAGTCGAACTCTATGTGCAAAATAAAATTAAATATACTTTGCAAAACTCGCTCTTATTCTAGTGTATTATAAGTTCGAACTCTCTATGTGCAAAATAAAATTAAATATACTTTGCAAAACTCGCTCTTATTCAGAATGCACAACATTTAAATTTTAGATCAACCACTGAAAAGCTAGCCAATAACGTGGAAGGGAACTCAAATTGACATCAAGATGTGTCCTTGAAAGATCACTGCAGATACATGGTGATATGTTGCAAATGAGAAATATATCACTGTTCCATGCAAATCATTTTGTGCCAAATTAAGGATGTTGAGCTAGATTTATGATATGACAATAGTTTAGTTTCCAAACTTGAACCTGCGATGTCATCATTCATTTACCGATCCCAGACAGGCTGTTCATAGTAAGTCTGATACAATAACCTAAAAAATAAAATAAATAACCAACTATAACATGTTAAATTACACTGATACTGCAACAATTATTGGCACTCCGTGTATATAAGTTAAATCTTTACAATATCAAACGCCTGACAAGTAATGAAAGATGTGTAAGCTGACCAATGATCAACGTTTCCCATAGCTGCTTTATATTACTGTATATAAACACCATGAGCAATCTGCATAATTGCTATTGTTGCAGAATATCACATAATGTTATAGTTACACAGAAACAATATCTAATAAGCAATGTTATAATAACACCACCTGATTGTGCCCCCAACCCCAAAAGGATAATATAAAATAGAGAAAAACATCATCGGGTATTAATAATAACTTCTCTCTGGACTTCCCTAAGAAAAAATTGGGCATAATTGTTAAATCTCCATTACGTTGATCAAAGGCTATACTGTTGACAAGATGCAAGAAAGTGGACGAATGCGTATAGCATCCTCACAAGCACCTTTAAAGCCCTTTTCAAGCAGTGAAGTTAGCCCTGGTTCCAACAAGTATCAGTGACTCGTCGTTCAAGAAAGCTTTTTGCTTATTGTGAGTCCACAACTGATGTTCCATATGCTCCTATCAGTCCAAAACCTCTTGCAAAGTTGTACCTGCAAAGGTATAGTTCGCACAATAATGAACAGTGAGCACTTGAGAAATGTACAACATATTGGTTAAGGAAAAAGATGCTATATCTGAATTGGCCGAGGAAGACTTGAATATAAGAAATTCACACCGGGTTTACAGGTGCGAATTTTTTCATCACAATGACGCCAACAGTCCATATAACGAACAATCCAAACTTTAACACCACATTATCAATTCCAAATACTTGCTACAGCTCAATGACACCTTCCTAACTTTGATCTAGTCCAGAGCATAGTTGGGTCAACATTGACTGTGAGGGCAATCAAGTTGCTAGTCTAAATTAGGAATGATGCAATCATTTTGGACACCACCAATCACCTAGATTTAAGGGAAAAAAGAAAACCAAAAAGCTGAATATTTAGATGCATTATAATTGATCTCTGCGCCCTCTGAACATTGTTATCTCTATCCTCATTGATCCATTATCTCTGCTGCAACACTACAAACTGGAAAATTACCAGAGTAAATTCCTCCATCTACCATTTCAAATATCTCCGGCTTCTTAGCTCGGCATTTGCAGATCTGTTAGTCATTTAAAACTTAAAGTCTGCTTGCTTCATGCTTAATCCATAGGTAGACCTACTAAGGTTACGGAACAACATAATCCAAGAGTTCTCAATCTAAGTCTCACATTTTATTTAATTATTCACAATCTGACAGATAATATTATGTAGGGCCAATGTCAGTAAATTTGTGTCGTATTGGATCTAATATGGCCCCATGACATGAAATCTGCATTGTCCATGACAAATCATTCCAGACAGGGTTTTTGGTCCTCTTCGGAATTATGCTATAGATATTTTCCATAATGAACATTAATCACAAAAGCAAAATTTCTAAAACTGTGATCTCAGTTCAGACTTCACAACTGAGAGTGGGCTAATTGAATATAGCTAAGAATGTCGGACAAAAAGGAACACTAATTAATGTGATCGTGTAATGGTCCGCATGTTCCTCCTTATAGTGAGAGACAAAGGGAGCAGCTATTTCTGTCAACCTTGATTACATGGCACATGCCAATAAGAGGACGGAGGCCAACAGTATCCTTTTTGTCACTTATACTTTAGGCGCATTCAAGAAGGAACCCTTTCTTACCCACATGTATTTTATGTCATTCAACAAAATGAGCCTTTATTGGAGCACATCAAACTCCAGCTGCAGCTTTAATATCGTGCTCTGCCTTTCCCTGGAAAAATAACAAAATGCATAGTCTAGTGAGTGGCAAAAAAGAGCATGAAACAAAATTAAACATCAAAATTCTACTTAAGTTTCCAGAGGATGAAGTAATATTGTTAAAAATCAATCTCGTTCGGAACTTGGAAGAAGAAGAAGAAAGGATTAAAGGTTGATCATTTGCCTCATTAGAGGGACATATTCAGCTCCATCGAGGTACTGTCCTAATTACTAGCATACCGGTGGATACAATTTGTCTCGTTTCAAGAATTTAGTTTTACTGGGAGTGAGAGAGACGGAGAAGTGAAAGTTATTTCTTCACATATACTACAACAAAAGAATTACAAGGATGAATGCACGGCAATCTCAGGTGAATTACAAACCTCAGATGGACTGCTTCGAACCTTCCTTGTAGGGGTACGCATGGTGACAAACTCCTCTGCTGATGTAGGGTGAATTCCCACAGTGGCATCAAAGTCCGCCTTGGTCAACCCAGCTTTGACTGCAATCGCAAATCCCTGGAAGTTTCATAATGACAAAAATACATTACCCACGTATATCCTATAATCAATCTGAGAACTTTGCACCAAAGAATTAAAAGAAATAGCCACCTGTACAATTTCTGGTGCATCATCTCCACACATATGCAAGCCCAGAACTTTGCTTGTCTTTGCACAGACTATAAGTTTCATGAAAACCCGATCTGGAAGACCAGAAATAGTAGCCTTTAAGGGCCTAAAATTTGCTGTATAAACATCAACGTCACCAAACTCTTTGATGGCCTGGGAAAACAAAAGCAAATCATTAATCATAATAGTTAATTGTCAACTCACAAGCTCTAGTTACTATACCTGTTCTTCCATTAGACCAACTTGTCCAATAGGTNCACCCAAAGAGGGAGTGCAGGAGAGCCCAAAAGAAGGGTGCTAAAAAGAACTTTTTCTCATCTGAGAACTTCACTGCATTAAAAGCAATTAGAGCAAGCTTTCACAGGCACAAGGAAGCTTGGGGTTGCGTGATAGTATTGTCGGTTTTGAGGGGATAGGAAGTGGTTGACTTTGAGGAGAAATCATCGTTCCTCCACAAGGATTTAATCCAGGTTTGTATTGAGCAAGAATCCCTTAGCTATGAACTACCTTACCCTATTAGGTCTATCAGAGATAAGCTAGCAACGGGAAAGCAGAACAAACCTTTGTATTAGGTCTTCTTCCCGTTGCAAACATGATATGAGAGAAACCTTCAACTGTTCCTCTGCTAGTCTTTAAAGACAGTGAGCCATCCGCTGACTTTACAATAGCCTGAGGCGACTCCTCAGTATGGAACTCAATTCCTCTCAGTGACATCTGTTCACCAACAAAATCCCTAATCTGTATATATCAAAGAATTTGAGTGCATCATCAAGATTTTGGGTTATGAAGGAAATTACTCAAGAAAAACTCCTGTGCATGTTAGGGATAAATGACTCACTTCTTCATCAAATCCTCTCAAAACCTTCTTTTGTCTTATAAAAACATGGACCTCACTTTTCAAGCCATTGAAGATTCCAGCAAATTCAAGTGCAATGTAACCGCCTCCGACAATGGCAATTTTGTTAGGCTTCGTTGGCAAATCAAGGGCAGCATCGGAATCTATAGCATATTCGCTACCAGGAATGTCTGGGATAAATGGGCGTCCCCCAACTGAAATCAGTATGTTCTTAGCCGAGTAGAGTTTTCCATCCACATCCACCGTATGAGGATCCACAACCTGAAAGTACAGTCAAATAAAAGGCAATATGCTTTAACTTGAAGCCTTACGGAGCATGATAATAAAATTATACATTTCCCAACCTTTCCTCTCCCTTCAATCAGAGTGACACCAGCATTCTTCAGAATATTCTTGTAAATACCCGTGAGGCGCTGCAACTCGGCATTTTTATTGGCAATGAGGGTGCTCCAATCAAATCTAGGTTCCACATCATAGTTCCATCCAAAACCACAACTTTCCTCAAACTCATGAGAATATTTTGACGCGTACACGAGTAATTTCTTGGGTACGCATCCACGAAGTACACACCTTTATTAGAGAAACAAAGAAAATCATTCCATTAAATAGAAACAATAGTGTCTATGTTACACTTTACATGAAACTAATACTCCCTTCATTCTAATTTTTATGACGTTCTTTTCATTATGGGATGTTCCAAAATGCTTGACACCATTCTATTTCTGTACAACTTCCACAATTATCAAGAATTCAGATATATTAAATTGTTCTGATTTTATAATTTGATCTGATGTTTTCTCTATTAAACTATAACTTTTCAACCATTATTATAATAGTTTTTTACAAAGTCACAAATATAATAGATAAGTCAAACTAATATATTAAACTACATATCTAGTCAAATACCTTTATATAAAATGAAAAGGAGGGAGTAGTGTTTAGGGAATCAAACAATTCTTTAATAACGGTTCTCTAAAAATTATTTAGATATTTTAATATATTGACTTAAAGCACTTTTACGCAGTTCTAAATATGTGGATTTCATTTATAAACTGAAGCATGGGTCTCAACTTCACACCAAAATATTTGACCATCGAACTCCATCATTCTTCTCGGGAATGGGCTACTCATTCACCCTTCAAAATTAAACAATATTATCATCTCAACTCCACTATAAAGACAGTTTCTTGATTTTCCTTTAAATCACTTCCATCTGTTAACACAAAAAATCTGAGATTAAGAATAATTTGGGTCTCTTCTTCGCCTGCTTAATTTGGCTAAGAATAATTTGGATCTCTTCTTCGCCTGCTTAATTTGGGCCATGACCCTATGGATGGAATTGTTCGTGACAACTTCGCCTAAATGGACTAATTCCAATATCCATCTCAAAGGATTGGATAAGAAAGAAAAATCTGCATGATCAAGTCATACATGGTGTTACTATATGATGACTTGATCAAGTAACCGCCTCTCCATAGAGAATGGGGCAAGAAACTTTGGTTGAAGGTGAAGGCAGTTAGCCAACGTGGTGTTAAGGCGGTTAGCCAACGTGAAACAGAGACAACCAACTACTACAATATTAACTGGAACACGCTGAGCTTTTAAAGAACAATCCGGAGCACAATACGAAGTTGTTTAAGTTGAATTTTGTGATTATATCTTGTAAAAGCTTAAGTTGTTAGAGAGAACACACTTTTAGTTACTTAATCATATTGATTCAACATGCCCCATCACGTGCGGCCTTAATTATGTTTTTATGAGCCAAGTACCTGAAAAGAATATGGGTGACGATAAGACTCGAAACCACAACCCCTGCCTATTCTGATACCAAGTTTAAATTGTTAACGAGCATACTTTTATTTATTTAATTACATGTCTTCAACAAGCCCCATAAAGGCTACCCCAAAGTTATAAATTGGACCTTTCGCATGTAGAATGGAGGTCATGCATCATCAAACATGCATGCAAGTGCAACACATATATTCTTTCAAGTAGTCTTTACGTTCCATTTCTTTACGACTTCCTTCACATCACAGGCATTTACAACCTTTCTTTACATACTATTAATCTAAAATTCATGCCAATCATAGTCTAGTTTCCCGAAAACAACCTCACTCTCCCTAGGGCAATATGCATGACTTGTGTAGGACCTTCATGAAGTGATTCTGTGAACCCATATTCATGAAGTGATCCTGGAAGGCTGGAACCCATTGTAGAGTCTATGTTGCTTCGACTCTCTAAAATGGTTGTCATACCCGTGTCGGATCCTCCAAAATGCATTACTTTTGGATGAACCAACACACAGTCACACACCCGGCTGCATTTTTTAAGTGTCCTACTCAAATTAATCCTCTGACTTCAATTGGGAATCACACAGCTCACCCAGTTCGACCAATTCAGAAACATTGCCACCAATATCATTAAACAATAGTATTATATTTAGCTCAAAGCACAATTGGGCTGGACCTGGACAGGCTAGTACTTAATCACCCTACCTTATCTACTACACTATAATTAGGCATTTTAAATTTTCCTAGACATACTTCCCCATATAACAAAGTAAGCTCAAAACTAAAGATAGCAAATTTATACTACCAGGTTTAAAGGGTAAAGTAAAACTAAGAAACTCACGTGCCACCAACGCCACCAGTGGAATCAGAAGAAATAGTGGAGAAAGGGAGCTCACAAACAGCAACAGAAGCCCCAAAATTAGACGCAAAACGAGAAGCCCTAACACCACCGCTACCAGCACCGATGGTGAATAAGTCAAAGTCGTAGTGGCGAGGAGCGTCAGCGCCATTGGAGGACTCGGCGCGTGGGGCGGTGAAACGGCGGCGGGTACAGGATAATGATGATGGGGTACTACGGGAGTGGGTGAGAAAATTGAAGTGGAGAGGCTTAATTGGGTTAGAGAGTGACAGAAGAGAGAATTTGTGTTTGTAGAGTAGAGAGTGGAGAGTTGGAGAAGAAAGAGTAGTGCTGAGCTTTGGTGTGCTCAGAGATGTAGCCATGGCTGGCGGAATCTAACAGTTGGTTTCTAATCTGTTTAGGTGATGACAGATGTTTATGTATTGAGTAGGAAACAGTCCCTAACACCCAATTCTCAAAATATCCGAAAGACAGCTGCAAATACGGAAGTCGGCAAAATTTATTTTACACTTCTGTTTGTTTGAGGCGCTTTTTAAACTCTAATTTGCAAAAGTAAAACTCAAATTTTACAAATTCTATTATATAGAAAAGAGAAGTCGACCAAGGGCAAAATTGTTATTTTCTATCTCACTACAGTTCTATTAGTACATCTATTGATTTGCTTCACCTTTTCTTTTACTGTATCGAATTAACTTTTAAGTCTCATTTTGGACTCTTTGTCTCTCTCTCAAACTCTTCGCTCGTTATTTTTTCTAGAACTTTCTTTTGTTCCTAAAACATAAATTTCGTCTTTGATTTGTGAAATCTCAAATAAATGAAGCTTCATTTCTGCCATTAGGTTTCTCTAAAGTGGTGTTGCTTGACATTTCAGTTCGATTCATGGAGTTCTTAACCAAGTATTTGAATATACAAATTGGGTTTAGCTTACTCTAAAGGTCCAACTTTGCTTCAGAAAGGTAATTAATTAATTTAAGTGTTTGCATTTATTTTTTTGGTTATAAATTGATAATTATGATTCTGTAGTTTCTGGGATTCTATAATTTTTACATAAAATTCTAAATTGGGGATGTTAGAATGTTGTAAATAAACAAATGAGCTTTATAATCAGAGTCAAATGGTAGAACGTGCAGCAAAAAATGACATCACCGGCAACTTTGCCGCCATATCCAGTGGCTTCAGCAGAAAAGTCATAGCTTTCTGCTCCTCTATTGTATGAAGTTTGTTGACACACATATTCTTGCATACTTTAAACAAGTGTGTTTAAAGTACTCCTACCTTATGAAGCATTAGAAAACCTTTCCACGAAGATTAGGCATATATTTTAAATGTCTTTCTGTTTTTGTTGTGGCAATTAATTTTAGAGATAAACCTATCAATCATTTATTGTAGGTGCTCTTGGATCTCCAGTTTCTTTTATCTTTCGTAAACCAACACTTTCTTGGTGCTTCCAGTAATGAATACACCTTACATGCCTCAAATATAAAGCATATTGTCAATTTTTTACCAATGCGATGACTTTTTCCGGATAGTATGAGCCTTTTAGCTTTTTTTTTATGTCATTAGACAAAAAGATATTAGTAGTCAATCCTGAATTGGAGTTATTCGACTTATCTTGAATTATGTGTGAGTTTATAATGTACCAATTTCAGGTGCAACAAGCATTAGTTGCTGGCGTTCTTTTCCTTCTTTTTTTGTATAAAAAGTAGCTAAAAAGTGTTGAATGGCAAAGGTTTAGTTGAGCATGTTATATCTAACTTTATTTTGCTTATCTGATGATATATATTTGATCAACAAGACTTCTAGACATATGGTTCAGTTTTTACCTTCATTATTGGTTGTAGCATTCTTGTGAATTCCTTTTCTGAACAAAAGATAAGGGCATGAGGCCACTTCTTTTCAATTAGTTTTGTGTTAGTTAAACTAAATGTGAATAGTAATCCTAATTTTGAGTTGTTGGATAATTTTTTGATTTCTCGGGCTTACATGTAAGTTCTTTTAGGAGAAAGTTATTTTGGTGAGGTGACGTTTAAATAAACAATTGAGGTTATTTAAAGAAGGGGCAAGATTTGGAGTTCCAAATGGATTCTTTAAAAGCTATATTGCAAGATATTAGGGCTGGCATTTTATTATTCAATGCGATAGCTTTTAATGCAAGAATATGTGTTTCTTTCGATCTTTGGATGTTTGAATGTTTTCATTGATATTTTTTATAATCTTGAGTGTTTGAGTTAATAATATTAATATGTGAGATAATAAAGCTAATGTGTTAATTAGTTAAGCCCATTTTGTAACAATTATGTGAGGTGACTTATGTAAAATTTAATATGAATGTTGCTATGTTTTAGGCACACTAATAGATCAACTAATTGATAACATCGCACGCCAAGTTGCTTGAGATTCTGTGGATTGCTTGGGAGAAGAGCATCAAGATTAGAATTACACAGGAACTTATGCTACTTACCCAAAAAAAAATAATATCACACAATGTTATTTTCGAGCCAATTTGGTATTAATATTTAAACAGTTTCTTTCTCTTGTTTTGCATTCCTATATTGTACTAGCACTCTACTCTAATCTTATTCTTCTTTTGATGGTTTGAATGGATTTTACCAGTCTTCAACTATGATCGAAGTAGTTCCCTGTTCAAGATGATATTTAGTTTTTCACCATTTTGTAATAGCGGTCTTTTTTTGTAAAGGAACCTCCCTGCTTGATTTTTGGATGGAAAAGGTTATATATGCTTAAACACGATTACATAAGGAAGAGGACTTTGAGCCTAGCTTTCCTGAAACAATATACAGCCACCCAATTCTTACAAATCTAAGATCATGAAGGACTCCATTTATATTAGCTATGTACAACCTTATCATTCCTAAATTAGATATGTATTCTTGTTAGTTTTCAAAATTGGTATATCCTTTTTGCTATTTACGCCCTGGAAGATGAGAATTGCAAGTAATTTATCCATCCTTAACTATCTTTTAGCCTCTTCAGGTAGCTCCCTCCAGTTATGTATAAATACCTCATTTAGTACTGGTTCTCAGGGAGGTAGGAAGTTGACAAACTTTTCTTTCTTTTATATTCATTAATCTCAGGAGCACAGTGGCCATGGTAAAAGAAATTCAATTGGCCAATTGAAATCATATTTACTTATTCAAATTTTATTTACCTATCAAAGCTGTATATGCATTTGAGTTGCATGATGCATTTCACAATTTCTGTTAAGTTCGTTTCTTTTTTTAGTGTGCTCATGCACATATGCCAATTATTTGATATTGTCAAATCTTAATTGACTAGCACCTAGGAAAAAAAATATAGAAACAGAAAAGACTTGCAAAAAAATAAATTATCCAGGCTGACTTTAGCATGGACTGCTTATATCTAGTTTTCAAACAAACGCCTTCGAAAAGAAGAAACAAACGGCTTCACTCCTACGTAGATTATTTTTTTTTTAATGATCCGAAAATTCTTAGTTTTAAGTTACTCCCTCCGGTCCTCAATAAGTGACCAATTTGGTTGGGGCATACCCATTAAGAAACTAAATTCTAGATAAAAATAGTTAGTGTGACTAAACTACCCTTCATTAAATGTTGCACCATAATTATAGTAGTACTTACTTCTCTCCCCAAATGTGAGGAGTAAATAATTTTTTAGAGATATGTGCATAAGGGTAATTTTGAAAAAACAAATTGAATATTTTTCTTGATTATATAAATGGACACTTATTTTGGGAAAAAAAAAAAAGCAAATTAGTCACTTATTGTGGACCGAAGGGAGTACTTTATTTATTTCAAACTAATTTGTGATAATCCGTCTTCCAAAGGGGTGTATACAGTCAAAATCGGGTTTGCCCTTTGTGTGACTAATCGAGATTGGAATACGATAGGTCAAGGTTCTACACCGTGTTATATCCAACCATGGTGCAAAGTTAGATCGTCGAGCTCATGACCCAGAGACTGATCAAGATCGAGATCGGGATCGGCCAAGATCGAGATCGAGCAAGATAGAGATCGAGCAAGATCGAAGGAAACTTACCGAGCCAAATAACGAAAATCGAAATATCCGCAATCGGGCGAAAATCCCGGCACGTATCAAGAAGAGGCCGATTAATTAGCTAATCATGAGATTTCTTACCTCATATAAAACTGTATCAAGAGTAGGACTCCCTTACTATATAAATGGGGTATGATCATTTGTAAAAATTATCATATTCACGTAATACAAACCAATATACTGTCATTTTCTAACTTTCATTATCTTGTTATTCTGTTCATAAGTTAGTTGTACATCTTTTGGTTCAATGGTGACTGAACCCGAGGGCCAAGGCTATTCAATTTGTGTAGTTCGAATTTATTCTTTTATCGTCAATTTCAATATTAGTTTATTATTCTTCTTAATTTGTACTAAGTTATATCACATATCCTTAAAACCGCGTATAAATTTAATTGTTATCCGATTTTAAGGTAAACAGTTTGGCTCCCACCGTGGGGCTAAGGATAATAGTGGTTACCTGGTACAAACTTTCGTGACACACACTATTTTACACTTGTTCTTTGAAGTATCTTTGATTACATGACTAAAAAATGTCATACTCTCAGTCAGCACCTCTACAAGTTGACAATGATTTCAGCCACAACGGCGAAAATAATAACATAACACCAGGAAACGATGTACCCCCGGTTAGCCTCGATGGAGTTCCGGCTGTAGATCTAATCGACGTCAGTTCAGATGTAGCCATCAACGGAATTTTGGTCGTCGATCCCGAAGGCAGCTTCCATGGTGATGCTCGATCAACCGCTCAAAGCGCACGTGGCGGCGAAGATGGCGGGATCAGCCTGTGGGTAATCTTCGAAATGTTGCAGGCTCGGCAGGCAGCAATCGCCCAGCTCCAAACCCAAAATCACACACCGAGCAGGGTCGAACTCGAGTCATCCTAGGAAGTAGTACACAGGGTCGAATCAGTTTCAAGATAATTGAGCGAGAAAGAATCGGAGACCAATCCTGTTATCATGAAGATGCTCGAAGAGCTGACAAAGCGAATCGAGTTGGGGGAAAATAAGATCGATGCAAACTACAAGAAGGTGGAAACTTATAACTCCACGGTTGATCAAATCCCCGGGGCACCGCCAATATTGAATGGACTGGATTCCAAAAAGTTCGTACAAAAACCTTTTGCCCCTGAGTGTGGCTCCGAAGCCAATCCCCAAGAAGTTCTGCATGCCCGAAATTCCTAAGTATAATGGAACGAACGATCCAAATGAGCACGTCACCTCTTACATATGTGATATCAAAGGGAATGATCTAGAAGATGACGAGATCAAATCTGTCTGTCACGACCCAAAACCCGACCTGTCGTAATGGTGCCTATCATGAAACTAGGCCAGCCTTAACTCAACAATCAACACAATAATAATAAGTTTGAAAACATTTACGGAAGCTTTTAACAGTTAAAGAACTATGTGAAACATAAGAAATTTCCAAGGACAGATATAATCTAGCCCAAAATCGGGGT